TTTTCTGAAAAGTTTCAGATCAGGCCTTTTAATTTTTATACACGTTTGCCATAAAAGTAATAACTACATTATAATTTTTTATAAATTCCCCGTAAAAATTATGACGATACTAAATTATTAAATAACAATGTCATACTTTATTTAATTGCTACAATAAATATTTATTCATAAATTATACTTTTAAATATAAAAACTACTAATCAGGATATAATTAAGGAAATAAGAGTTGAAGTTATTTTTTAAATAATCCACCAATATCTTAAAATTAAACATTATCTACATTTATATTTTCATCAAAGCTTCTCTCTCTTATGATTGTGATTTTAATCACTGTCAGATATCATTCATAGTTAGTTTTTGAATACGAAATCATCTAGATCTGATAAAGGTATTTTATAATACAATTATATAGGTGAAAGATGACACAACTTGTCATTTATCAAAATAAAATACGGATAAATCTTTTTTTTATTTATTAATAATTGAACTTAACGTCTTCTCATCTCTCCATTCATGCTAAAGGTGTTTCATTTTGTTGTTGAAATTATAGAGAAAATTTTTCATCCCAATATAGGTAATGAGGAATGTGTAAGTCTTCACTATTAATAAAAAAAATAATAAATAGAAAATTAACATGCTATTTATTAAAGTTATATAAAAAGGATACCTTTTTTTATTTAAAGTGTATGTTATTTTCAATAATATTTCTAGTTTTCGTTAATTAATAACTTTTAGCATAAACATGTAGTTATTTAAATTTCTTTTATTTTTAGAATCCATAGTAAATATCAAGTTTATTGTAAAAAAATTATTTCTGAGGGTAGATATTAAGGGTTAACTTTAAAAATTAAATTTAGTAATCTTTGATTTTTTTTTAATGGGGAATGAATTTAATTAAGTATATATCTTTTCTACATTTTTTAATGCTAATATCTCAAAAAGTATGTCACAAAGCTGGTTATCGACTAGTTGACATTTTATTTAAACAGTTTTTCTTCAATAAATAGTAAATAATTATATATGTTGTTGCTTAATTTTCAACAGCTACCCATATTACCCCTTAGAATTTATTTTTATTTTAATACAATAATATTTACTACGTTGTTACGTTTATAAAAATAATTTTTATTAATAATTTTTAAAGTCAAAAATTTATTTTTTGGTAATAATGGCAGATCATGAAGTGTTTTGCATAGCAATTGAACATCTAAATAATTTAAAACTAAATCATATTTAAGGCTTTTTGTGTATTAATGATTGAAAAACTAAAGGTGTTTCGATGACTTTGTTTCTATGAATATTGGTGTCTTCTAAAAAAATCATATAATTTTTGGTTATAATGGTATCTTTTTTATAGAATTTTTTCTATTACGTATCAAAGTATGTTACGAAAATGATTTTAATCATTGTCAGATATTAATTAAAACAAATTTAAAAATAAGCTCTAACTCTACTACGCCGGATCCTGACTGTACTTAACTTTTTAAACTTAGATAATATTGTGTAAACTCGTACTGATGTAATATCAATGTTATTGTTCAGTGTTTTTTTAAAGTACAGTGCTTACTTGTATGGACTTCGCAACAAGTTAATAAAATAAAAATAATTATAAACATCCGTTTCTTTATCTTTTATTATTAGCAATACAATTATTTATGACTAACTATTTTATGTATAAATATCATAGACACAATAATAAAGCTTTTATGATATGAATATGTATTCAAAATCGGTTATTATTTAAAGAAGGACAGAATACATTTTTGCTTATCTACAATAATAAGAATAATGTAAATTTTGTTTTGCAAAGATAAAATACATAAATAGATGCAATCCATTAATCATAAAACTTGTGGTGGGGAGGAACAAAATATATATTAATTTTAATCTTACACGTGTTATTACATTATCATAAGACATGTGGTTTATGGTTTTATCATAATGTGTCATATAAAATTGTACAAAATATGATTAAATAATTTTTGAATGTTTATATTTAATAAATGATTTTAAAAATCAATAAATTTCTCTAAAATTCATAAATTAATAAAAATGTCTGGATAAAGAAAAACCTATTGTAGGTGTTGTTAACTAACCATTTACTAAGTCATCTAGCTAATATAAAAGATAATATTATTTTTTCTAGATATAAAATATAGATGATTATCTATATTTTCCCAACACCGTAAAAATATTTGTACCGATTTCCTGAATTTAAATCTATTAAGAATATTCAAGTTAGTTCATAATATTAAATGATTTTTGCTGTGTGATAATAAAATATAAAAAATTTTACGATTTTTAAAAGTATTTACCTTGTGTAATAACCTGATTCTGATTGCCTAGGAAACAAAAATACCTAAAGAAACGTTAGAATTTATGAAGTATAATGGAAGTTTAAATATTTCACTCAACCAAATAACTAATTGATATTATTTCTTATTATTAATTTTGTGTTCATAGGGATATGGCAAATTTACAGTTTTTTATGGAGGTGAAGGAGGGAGGTTATGTATTAGAAGTTACTACTTCCGAATTGAATTTTTTATTCGTAATTATTTTTGTCGCTGTTCATTGACTATGATCGCTCCCTGGCCACGTCAATGTTTGCCAACTCTTTTAAATTTCATAGTTAACTTATTATTATTTTAATTATTTATAATATGGTGTTATTATGATAATGTAATCAACTATTTATATTTGCGTATTGACTTAGTGATAGTAATAATAGTAAGAGTATAAGAACATTAGTGAGTGACTAGTGAATAAGTCACCGACCATATAATGGGTTGGTATGGACATAAATTAATTTTTGTAGTTAATGAGTTATTTTTCTATGTTAACATATGGTAATTAAACAGTTGCTTAAATGTATAACAGATTACCTTATACATGAAATGAGTATTTATAAATTGTGTGTTAAAGTTACGTTATACTTAACGATATATAATATACAAAAAACTTTTTAATTTAATTTAAGTGAAGTTTGAATCAAAATAAAAAGATCACCTATTATAAATCGTTTTAATAATTTATAAATTTTACTTTAGCAAAAATTCAACATTTTTATTTGAATTTTAAACATTAATCAGTTATTTTTCTAAAAAAAATTTTTCATCCAAAATATTCACAGTCTTTTTTTATTAGTTATTATTTTTAATTTATTTTACATACGAAATTGTAATAGTATTTTTGAAAATTTATCTTAAGATAATTGGCCATCTCATAAAATAGTAATGTTGCTATTATGTATTAAAATTTGATTTAATCATAATACGTGTTAATTTTTCAAGTTTTAAGATTTAAAAATTTTTTTTTTAACTATAAAAAGAATGATATATACATTTAATATGGGACATCAAGCCTGTTGACAAGTCTGATAAAAATTTTTATTAATCTCTATTTACAATTAATCACTTGTGTATGTATAATAAATTTGTACGTGTCTTTATACATTATTCATTAATAAAATAAACAATACCTACATATTATTAAATAGTAGGTATTGTTATTAACTTTAATGGTGTACTAAAGCAGTTATAATTACAAAGACTTTGTTAAATAAAATTAATATTTTTATTGAGTTAATAAACTAAACAACTTAATCTTTCCATATATTTATAAGTTCTTAGGCTAATAATTTTTTCCTTATTAATTTATTAAAAATGTTAATATTTTATAGAAATGTTTTACGAAGAGAAAACTAAATCTTATGTGTTCTCATTTCATAGATATTTTTGGTAGGAAAACGTGAGATTATTATGAACAAGATCACACGCATATTTATAATTGTATTTTGTTCATTAAACCTATTTTAGCTCGAGAATTAGTAGTCCTATATAATTATGTATAGTGTTAATATCTTTATAAAAATACTTGATATAAATAATTTTATACATTTTTCATTTGATCATTGATTATTTTACTTTTACTTAACAATCTTCCTATTTTATAAATATTGTTGTTGCCTGTAAATTGATAAAAGTACAAGGACGATCAAAAATTGTAGGATATTTACAATATTCATTTAAAATATTTATTAAATTATACGTTACATTTAGAATTTCTAACATGGAAATACAAGGATGTTCTCATGGTTCTTAATAATAATGAATTTCTATAAGTGAATAACATTTAGTGAGCTGTATAAATTATTATACATGACTTTTTTTAATCAAAAATAAACACTCTTAGAAAGTATACGGTATGAAGATAAAAAATAATACATAGTTGATGAATTAAGAAAAACGTGTACCTAAAAGAAAAATGATAAAAAAAATCGTTATCCTTATATGTGTTTTTTATCCTTTATTATATCGTTTAACTTGTGCTTTTACGGTGGCAAAAAACACCATGTTTTTGCACTGGGAACATGATAACGGAAAACAACTGCTTTTATAAATTTCCCAGGGTATAAGAACCCAATTGGTATTAACCAATCTATCTTTTGTAAAAATAAAAATATATTTTTTAACAAAATCTTATTTGACTAAACGTTATTTTCAAATGTTCTTTGGCCTAGCAATCATAAAAATTGCAAAAATTATAGCGGAGTTCAACAAGATGGTATTTTTATTCTTATTCTGTTTAATGTTTTATCATCAGATTAACTCACTTCATTGTTTACCAAGGTATATGAGTTTGCTAATAATAAAGTTTAATACATAAAAAGTTGTTTAAAATTTATAAAACCACCTTAATCTTATATCCGATTGCCATATTAAATGACTTATTAAACCTAAGTTGGTATACACTTTAGTTCAAATTTTATATCACGACGCTCCTCTTGTTCTTGGGTGACAGTGGGATGAACAACAAGAAATTCGGTACATTTTAAATTATTTGTTTTTCATTATTTGAACTAATTGATAATGAAAATTTTATCTTAATATGATTTTCAAGTAAAATTAATTGTTAAAAAAAAAAATATATATATATATATAGTGGTAAAATTAAGTAAATATAAAGCACTTATTAAATATTTTATTTATCTGTTTTAGATATATTGCTGTAAATCGAAATGTCTACAAAGTTTTAGCACGTTCCTTATGACTATTTCGTTGGCTGTCAGTTTGGCTAATATTATAAGACTTCCACGAATGGTTTTTCTGTATGGCGGTGGTAAGTACATGACTTAACGTAAGAAGGGGAATCGATGGACGCATTTGTGTTAAATGATGCCACTACAGAGTGATTCTTTTAACACTAACCATTTATTTTCTCTTAAAATAATAATTTTTTTTTCTTCTATTAATTACATTTGTATTTCTATTTATCTATGTATACATTATAAGTTTAAATGTTAGAAAATGTACCAACTAAGAAAGTGACAGTTCGATGAATCAGTATTTTAGACGTTATGAACATTATTATTTCAATCAGAAGAGGAGTGTGCCCGAGAAATTCATAATTAATTAAAAAAAAACTTCAGTAGAATAGCCCGGTCGCGGCACAGTGTGGTCGTAGCATAGTTGGGACAAGTATAAATGATATCTGATTGTGATTAAAATCACAATCATAAGAGAAGCTTTGATGAAAATATAAATGTAGATAATGTTTAATTTTAAGATATTGGTGGATTATTTAAAAAATAACTTCAACTCTTATTTCCTTAATTATATCCTGATTAGTAGTTTTTATATTTAAAAGTATAATTTATGAATAAATATTTATTGTAGCAATTAAATAAAGTATGACATTGTTATTTAATAATTTAGTATCGTCATAATTTTTACGGGGAATTTATAAAAAATTATAATGTAGTTATTACTTTTATGGCAAACGTGTATAAAAATTAAAAGGCCTGATCTGAAACTTTTCAGAAAAAATTTTTTTGTTAATTTTGAATAAATGGTGTCGAAGGAATTTTCATAAATTAAATATAAACTTTTAATGATCAATTTTTTGCGTTGATTTGAAATGTACAATAAGATATTTTTATATCACCACTAATTTTTGTTATAATTACTAATTAGTTAAAAACTATAAGATATAACTACATGGAATATTGTTCTCTATATTTCTATTATAGCATCTATTAAAACATCAAGAGCTACTCAGAAATGATAAGTAGTTCTTAAAATTAAGTTACTTTTTCCAATATTTGATGAATAGAAGTTTAACTAGATTAAAATCGGTTCATTTGACATATTGATCATTAAAATTGGTCCAGCGAGAGCTGAGAATAAATAGTATCACATACACACATAATAGCTTATCATAATAAAATCAATACCTTCTCAGCTTCCCGTCGAAGCTAAAATAAATACCTAATCTAAATGACGTATTGAAGAATTATAACGTTTTAGAATTCTATTGCAGTTACTTTATTTGTGAGCTTACTGTGAACATTACTCTCTTATCTTACTTTCGTGTAGGGGAAAAAATATAAATCGGTATTTTAAAAGTTTAATTTAGGACCCCAAGTTTTTTTTTACTGCATTAATTTACTACCATGAAAAATATTCATATCTAATTTTATTAAAAATAATTATACAAATATAGCAAAACAAATTATATAATTTTAATATATTAATATCTAAGAGTAATCGTTTACATCAAATTTTAGCTCAAAAATCCCTTCAAAATACTCCAGAAGAAAATATAATCGTATAGCTAATTGGCCCTTTCTTTCTCAATCACAATTCGATAACATTGTATTATACTACTACAAACATTTGTAGTATCACAAATAACGTAACCTACAAGGCTTATTAGTTAATAATACAAAAATATATAGAACGTATATTTGATAAATTATTCTAAACGTCCAAAATTGAGGGGTTTTCAAAATTTTGTAAAGCGTAACGTTTTAGAAATCTATTGCTGTTACTTTATTTGTGAGCTTACTGTAGACATTACTCTCTTATCTTATCATGGTGTAAGGGAAAAAATATAAATCGGTATTTTAAAAGTTAATTATTTCCTTATTTATATCCTGATTATGAGTTTTATGATGTATAAGTATGATATATGAATAAACATTTAATACATTTAAATTTATTTATCAAATATTTAATAAATTCGGCTATTTGCACATAGAAGACAAGTCGTTGGGACAAAATTTTTTTCTAATATATAGTGCGTAACATTAGCTTTGATTTAACATATGTTTAAAGGACGCAGTATTTGTGGAAATTTTTAAAAAGTTGAAAAAATGAACTTTTGTGGATAATTTGCTATTTGATTCCTCTTCTGTATGTAGGTAAAAGGTCATGTGTTCAAAAAATTATATCAAATAAAAGAAAAATATCTAAGATTTCTATATAATATAAATTATTTTTATTTGTTCATTTTTGAAAGAGTTAATACTTTGGGGTATTTATAGGGAATGAGTGAATTTTTTTTCAATTTTCAAGGTCAATATCTTTAAGTAGATACGATTGTGATCTTTTGTCGTATTGATGAAAGAAATCTACTTGGTGAGAGCTGAGAAAAAGAGGCAACAGACATAAAAAAAACATATCATAGTAAAAGTAATAACTTCTCTTCTTCGCATCGAAACTAAAATAATGTTGAAAACCGTACATGGTATAAGGATGAAATTAAAAAAAATAATTAATATTTGATAAATCAAAAAGTATATGAAACTATAATTACCAAAAATAATTTTCTTGGCATTATTATGACTAAGAGAAATCGAGTGGCTAGTGTTATAANACTAAGAGAAATCGAGTGGCTAGTGTTATAAAAGTCACAGTGTATTTAAAAAATAAAATATAAATACAATTTTTAAATATTCTATATTAATATACATATTTTATATTTGTTTTAGGAACATTTTTGGTGTCGTATTTGATAGTAGCCTTTTTTTTTGGCGTTCCTCTCCTGTTCTTAGAAATTACGCTTGGTCAATTCTGTCAACAAGGTACCACTAAATTATGGCGAGCGGTACCATTATTAAAAGGTCAGATTTAAGTCTTAATGAATTTTTATATCTCATCATAGAAGTGTGAAAACTCAATTTTTATACTAGATATTATGAAATAATTTAATAGAAGTATTAGTCAAAGTAAAAATTATTGATCTTGCTCTAGGTGTGGGGTATGTAAAATTACTGGCTTCTATGTTGTTGGCTGCTTACTATCCGATTATTATGGCCTTATCTTTCTTTTACGGAACACGAAGTGTCATTGGAAGCATACCATTTCCTGAATGCAGTAATTCTATACATTTTTATGTAAGTAAATAAAAGTATTTTTCTAATCTGCGTAACTAGGAATTAATCATGATGTTTTAAACGCAGCAAGGTACAAATTCGAATAAAGGTGAAGATTGCTTACAACAAACATTTCTTTTGCCACTACATATGAATTGGCGATGGATCTCGATGGATATCTTATTTGTATTAATCATATGGATCTTCGTTTCATTAAGGTATTTTTTTCCTAGGGATAAAAATTGTAAGTTCAGGTGAAATTAATGTCAAATAATTTTATTTGAAATGTATCTAAATTATGTTATTGCAAATAAATATTTCATAAGATATTAATTTATATAGTACAATATGTTATACGCATACTATTAAAGTTAGTTAATCTTCAATTAATTTTAAATTCCTAAATGAAATATGAAGCTAAATCAATGTAACCGAATTGGTCTAAAATGCGCCTCTACTTCTTAAAACATGGTTAAAATAAGAGCTGAAACACTTTTTCCAAGTTATATACCAATTTTTATGACTATATAAAAATGTCTATTGATTTAATATAAAACTATTTCAAAGTTAATACAAGAAAAAAAGTAAGACCAACTTTTTATTATGTTAGAAATAAAAACATATTTAATATATCATTGCATAAAATAGAATTAAGTAATAAACTGTATATTATAAATATTCAATCAATAGTTTTTATTTATCTGTTACTGCTTATACTATATATAATTGTCAATTAATGTGAATAGAGATTATGACACACTGCAATAATTAATTAATTATCTTTATACTTGGTGCTTCCTTTTGGTAGTTGCTACAAACGGTATTTAGGTTTTCGAAATCCTTTGATTCAAGTAATTCTGACTTTGTGCTAAATTATGTCAAACTGGATATCTTAAAATCTGAGATCGAATGCTTACGTAATTTTTAATTGTCATTGGAATATTTTTCAATTAATCTTTTAGTTCTTTTTTTTAATTTCTTTGGTATATATAAATCAATTTACAAAATTAAAAATTATATTGTATAAGTATTTATATTCAGGCACATTTATAACTAAATAGATTTTATTTCTATTCATAAATATAGAAGTTCTAGTAAATAGTCTAATATACGCCACTTAAATTAAAGTTATTTAATAAAAACTAGTACAACTATGTAAAATTGAAATTTACTTTATGGATTAAAAAAATTGGCATTATGTTATGTTATCTACATTAATTTTTTAAATTAATAATAATATTCATATGAAATTTCTTAACTCTAATAGAAAAAATACGCTTTTCCAAATAATATTAGTTTGAAAAATTATTTTTTAATAATTTTTTTTTTACGTTACAGTTTAATAAAAAATAGCAAGTCGTATAGAACAACGTCATTAGTTATGGTTCCTGTCACTTTTATGTCATTAACTGTTTTGTTAACTAAAGGTCTTAACGCAGATCGACGAGGTTTAGAAATATTGTTGGAAATTCATTGGGAAAATTTGTTGACTTTAGACGTAAGTTTTTCTAATTTTCCCTAACACTTAAAATTTTAAAAAATTATTACTTTCACACTGTCTATAGTTTTAGTTGCTTTATTTATCTTGTCTTCAACTAATGATAGAGTTTATGAGTTATTATAATATTTCTCTGTTTATGAGTTATTATAATATTATTTAAATAATCTCAGATATTAAATAAAGATATCAACGGAATTTAGATTCACATTATAGTCCTCATGAACGTTAAAATTATTTAAATATTTTTTTTTAAGATATGGTACCACGCTGTGGTGCAGTTTTTGATTACTACACATTTGGGATTTGGAAATATTACCACGTGTGCTGGTCGCTTGTATTCGAAGTCTAATCCTTTTTGGTAATATTTTTTGCGATTAAGATTTTATTGATTGAATATTTAAATTTGTTTTTTATATAGGACTTCTGTACTTTTTACAATAGTTAGCGTAACTGTGGGCGTGTGTGGAATTTCAGTATTGACAATGTGGATGTATGACATGCAAAAAGCTGGTATAGTTTTCTTGCCTAATGCAGCTTTATCTGAATTGTGGTTTTTGACATTCGTGTACGAAATTACTGCAAAAGGTATATTATCAAATTTATGGGCCACTCTTGTTTATGTTTTAGTATTTTTATCAGGATTCCTCAGTTTGGTAAGTCCATACACAATCAATCGAGTAAAAATATTATAATTGTAATTTTAATTTACTTATGTAATTATAATTTAATTATCTATTATAATGTACACATTAGATTGCGGCTATATATACTGTAGTAGTAGGATTGTCAGTGGAAACTAAGGAAAAATGGAAGTGGTGGATATTAACTAGTACGGTTTGTTTCATTGGTTTTCTTGTGAGCGTTTTGTGCTTATTGCCTGTAAGTAAAATTAAATACTATTTTTAAAATGATTTCTGTTGAGACGTGATTATATTTTAGGAAAATCTCCAATCAATTCATCTTTTAGACGAGTACATTATTCCTCGTATGATATTAACATCTACAGTACTAGAACTGATAGGATTTGTTTGGATTTATGGATTAAAATCTCTATCTAACGATTTTGAATTTGTACTGGGATATAAACTTTGTTTTCTTTGGAAATCCTTATGGCTGGGTACTCCTGTATTGTTTACAGTATGTACCACAAGTAAAATTATTAAAAATAATAAATAATTGGCTTGTACTACCATTACAGGTTCTTGAGTTTTGGAGTTTGTTTGTAATGCCTCTTTCAGAATCTGAACATTCTACACATGATTCTATGTGGTTGTACGTAATTGGTTGGCTTATATACTTGTTCACATGGTCATTAATTCTTGGAATGGCAGTATGGCAAATCTCTGCTCAAGTGGATTACAACTTTTCTCAAGTAATTAATTTTTAATAAACGCTTCAAACATAAAATAAAAAAAAATTTTCTTTTAGAAATTTTTGAGCACTATTAAACCATCTAGAAACTGGGGACCTGTAGATCCAATTTACAGACATTGTTGGGTGCAATGGAAAAAACAGTATCAAGTTACAGGTGAACGAGATTTTACGCTGAGACGTCGAGGTACTAGAGATTATACTCATTCTATTAAACGAGGAAAACATTCAGCACCTCCTGGTACAGCATATAGTATCAGTCCTTCATCATTAGATCGTACATCATCTTTTTACAGTGTTGAAAATTCACCAGTGACTCGAAGTAATTCACATTTAGATCATACTTATGACCGAAGATGGAGTAGGGAAGTAAAAAATACAGCTATCAATTATATGTGATTAAATTTACTGTTATGGGATTATACTATTTTGCATATACAGTTATCTATATTTTTTATAATAATTATTGACTTACTAATCATTTATTTAAAAATTAAAAAAGTGAGTGAATTTATACTAAGTTAAATATAAGAATTGAATTATTTAATTTGTTTTTAAACTTTTCAAAGCTTTGGCTTAAGAAAGAAAATATCAAGTTACCATCAGAATATTGATGAATTATATGTAGCCAAATAATTTTTATAGTTTTATTACAGAAGTTAAAGGACTGATTTGTATTAATTTTTTTTATTGTTTATTTAAAATTCAATATTTTAACTGAATTTTATAGTGTATATGTTATGTTGTAAATAATATGATAACTATACTAAGTTAGTGTATTTATATATTATAGAATTTGACTATAAATAGATATAATTTTCAAAATAAATTATCTATTTTGTTTTTGTTGGCCTTTTTCCTGATTCATTAATCATAATAAATCTTTATAGGGTTGCTATTTTCTAAAATTGAAATGTAGGGCATTTTTTCAACGAGTTTTTCACCCTTTCCCCTTCAGCAGATAAACCAAATTATTAACTTTTATATTTAAGTTGAATTTTAGTGTTTATCATCTTAGTTAATCTAATATTATAATAGTAAATATATGTCAAAGACTTAATTTCAAAGGGCTCGAAAAAATTTTTTTTTGGAATTAGTGCCTAGAGTAAATAACTAAATCTAATCATGAGTGAGTGATATGCTAAATGTAAAAACAAAATACTGAATAATACATAAAATGCTTCGAAAAATAAATAATGTTTTAATTGACTTGAAATATAAATTCGAAAATAAATATTTGATCATCGTATACATATATTTGATACTATAGACTCTATTCATCTATTTGTGGTCTGCTCTGCCTCTACGATTTGATAGAGTTTTACACCTGACGTAACCTCATTATGGCTGAGGAATATTTTATTTTTAATATTTATTAGCTTTTATTTTTGTAAATCTTAATATTGACTATTAATTATAAAAAAATAACCATATAGTTATAAATAACAGATAAACATGAACAACTATAAAGTGACTTACAAGTGTATATGTCAAAAAGAATATGTTTCAAATTATTTAGTAACGAATACTTGATCCGTGTATTTTGACATACATGTTAAATCTATTTAATAATGTAAATACAAGTGGAACATATCTAACTAAATACTTATAACTTTTGATACAATTAATATTTTTCACTGCAATTTTTTGTCAACAATTTTTGCATTCTTACATTATGTTTAAAAACATAATTTTTATTATATATTTTTAATGATACAAATATATATTTTTTAATTTAGACAGTCTATTCAACTAGGTCGGGAATGCATTATGTCTTTGTGTATAGGTACCAGGATTCAATTACGTTGAGTTGGACTATGTCGTTTCTCCTGTCTTCTCTAACACAAGTATAGCTGATTAAAGAGGATGTTAAAAATAAGTAGAGTTATAAAATAAAATAAATACATTAATAATTCAATAAAAATTAACCTCTTATTCTTTATTTAAAAAGTTTAATTTATAATTTTAATTACTGAAAATTATAATGATTATATATTGACTGAAGTGCAAAAAGAATGGGCTTTAGAATTAACTGTTTTTAATAAACTTCGGAGAGTAGAGCCAGGACCACATTCAAATGTATCTGGAAAGTTTGATCCCTGAGGTCTTTCATATAAGATATGTAAGGTCTGTTCCCACTTAACAGGTAAACATATTTGTTTTGGTAAATTTCTTACTATGTGATTACTATTTTTATAATGTTTCCCATCAATATTTGAATGAACAGCAATCATTGGCTCATTTATATTCATTTTACGAATTGCCATTAAAAAAGGTTCAACAGCGGGTTTCATTAATTCTGTATGAAATGCTCCGGAAACATTAAGCCTTTGCATTTTTCTTAAATTAAATTCTTTTAAATTAAATTCTAAATATTTAAGAGCCTAAAAAAATATTTTAGTTAAAATATAAAATAGTATTACAGCAGAACTAAGTAAGCAGAAACTTACTTCTAAATGTCCAGCAATTACTTTAGAATATGGATTGAGATAATTAGAAATTCGACAAACAGGTTTTTCAATTCCTCTATCTTGACACCATTCACGAGCTTTCTTTAAAGCATAGTTCAATTTAGATTCAGGACTTAAAAAAATTGTAGCCATACCTCCAGGTTCAATTTCAGATGCATAATGCATAGCTTCTGCACGTACTTTAACCAATTGAATAGCTAAAATTATATTTATTTTTAATTATTATTTATTATTAATTAACACAATAATAGCTATCTTTTGAAAAAAATGACTTAATAGAAATTTAAATGTTAAGTAAATAATTAACACTGAGAGATCTTCAGTAGAAGAATTCACAAATTTAATTTAAATATGAATATTCTAACATCAAGTAATTTCAGAGTAGTTATATGATTATTTCCACTTACATATAAATGTATAAAATAATACTCCTAATATTTTTTCCATTTTTAAATACTGAATATGTATTTGATTTAAAATAGTGAATTGTAACAGTTGTGATAAAGACTTATAAATATTATAAATTTAGGTAATTTGATTTAATAAAATTAAAAAATAAAACAAAATAATTTATACAAGGAATGTAATGATATATTACACTAAATAATGTTTTTTTATAGAAAAAAAGTTATGAATGAAAAAATATCTTCTTATTTATATTTCTTTATGCTAATTTTTTTAATCATATATTTTAAAGTACTGAGTTGTTAGACACTACTTTAATTGTAGAGTTTTTTCGTATTGATTTGTCACAATAATAAAGTAAATAATTTTTTCTGTTATAATTTAGTATTGGATCATATCTTTCTTCTTTTGACATGGAAAAATATCAAGTGTAATGATAATATATTTAAATATATATTTTTATGATTCTCAGGCTTACAATTTATCATTAACTTAACCAAGAAAATAACTAAAAAAAAATTTTAATTCTATTTATACCTTGTTCAAAAGTAAAGACACCAGCAAATGTTAGAGCAGCTAGTTCACCAACACTATAGCCAGCAGCAGCCATGCAATTTTCAATTGCACTAGGTTGTTCTTCTTTGAGTTTTTCAACAGCTCCAAGAGAGCATACTAAAATAGCTGGTTGACTGTACATTGTTTGATCCAATTTAGATTTTGGCCCTTCTAAACATATTTTTAGTAAATTATACTTCAAGATTTCACTAGCTGCATCAAACATATCTTTAACTTGAGGAAATATCTGTAAGTTATTTCCCATACCAACAAATTGTGTTCCTTGACCAGGGAATAATAAAATTGATGTTTCTTTTGGATCAACTTTTGGCCGTAATGCATGTTGAGCTTGAGACTGATTTTTGTGTGGAATATATGATCCTACACATAAATTTATGTTTCTTTTTTAATATTTATACATATAAATAAAATTATAAGTAAAACCTTTTGGGTATGGTGATGTCGCCCAGTTTCCTGATTCATGCTCTACATGCTGTTCTTCAGTAATTGTAGCATCATCTAACAACTTCTCAATGTTTTCTTGTTGTTCAGATTTATTGTTATCAAAAGATGCAAATCTATAATTTGTATAATTATCTGAAATACTTAAGAGTGGCAAAGTACTGGTCTTTTTAATTTTATTATATCGTAAAAATAAACTAAATTGTTTTACATTATAATATCGAAAATACGAATATAACTGACTATAAGAAATACAATTTAGAATTTTATTATACATAATATTTTAAATATTTGCTTAGATGTCAACAAATAATGAATTACTTATTTATTAAAGAATAAAAATTATGAAACAAATCATTCAAAATACTTCATATTTCAAATGCAAAATATGATAACAATTAAATATTGATAATATTTACCGTTATATGATTATTGCAGTGTATCTCAGTCCACGATAACTATTCACAATATTGATGATAAAAATTATGGCTTGAATGAGAACCTAGAACTACCTTTTAGCTTCGATGTGAAGCTGAGAGAGTATTAATTTTACCATGATGTGTTTTTTTTTGTCTGTTGTCACTTTTCTCAGCTCTCACTGGACCGATTTTTTTCAACGATACGTCAAAAGATCACAAATCGTATCTAGTTGAAGACATAACCCTTAAAAATTGAAAAAATTTTCTTCGTTCCCCGTAAAAGAGGGAAATCTCCAAAAAAATTACAATTTTTAAATTAGTAAATTTCGTCAATCTTTTCACTTTTAGCTTCGATGCGAAGCTGAGAAGGTATTGGTTTTACTATGATGTGTTTTTTTTTTT